GATGGATGGATGGATGGATGGATGGATGGATGGATGGATGGATGGATGGATGGATGGATGGATGGATGGATGGATGGATGATAACCCTGTACATCTAGAACTGGTACAACTTGGAGCAACCTATCTTTAAAAAGCAAATTGTTTACTAATAAAGCCATTATACTTTTTTTTTTTTTACCTATCCAGACATGGAAATACTTTAAGCAGATTATGTAGTTGTATTCGGATTTTCGACCTGAAAGTACACCTTTAAAAGCAACTGTGAATAAATGTATGATATTCAATAATATTTTATAAATCTAAATAATGAGAGAGAAGTGAATTCTTGAACAGTGGTTCTGCTACAGCATACAATAGGATTAAAACTAGTGTGTTAACGCAAGTATTTGGAAACATTTGGGACTTTTTCTCTCCATTCTAATTAGTCCATATAAAAAGCTGTTAACTATCCTGCAGCTTAGTTAGAAAATGGTAGGTGGCATAATTTAAAACTTCAAAAATTCAAAGCTGAAGGTCAGTTAAAAAAAAAAAAAAAAGATGAAACAGACTGTTAATACTCTAAAACGATTTGCTTTTAATTTTTCCAAAGCAATTTCATGAGATGAAATGCGAGGGTTAAGTAAGTTGTTATGGGATGACCCGGCAGGCGATCTGAATAATCATAAAACTGCTTGAAAGAAAGACTTTAATTCAACCAGGAATTTAAACTTTTAAATTAAAACGTTTTTTAAATTGTCTTTGCCTAGAAAGACAGCTACTCAAATACCACCAAAAGGCAACATACTTAACACCCAAACAAATTAAGGACAAAACATCAAAAACAAAACCGGAAATAGTGTAAGATTTAATAGTCAAATAGTTTGATCAGCAATTAATAAACATCAACAGCAATGCTGATCAGTCAAATTAATTCCATTCTGGTGTATTTGCACATCTAAAGCGTTTGATATTTAGATGTATTTTCATGTAATTACTATTAATTTTTTACGTATAATCTGTATAGAAAACTATTTAAATATCTCAATTAGTGGACTGAAAGGCATACTCTTGTGCAAGTTGTAATTAAAGGAAAGATTTTATGTTTTTTAATTCATTAAATTACAAGAGGAAGGTGAAGATTCCATGTCAATATCATTATAAATAATATCTTAGTAATTTAAGTGATGCATTTTGAAAGCACGGATTTGATTTTCTCAGATCCACAAGGCTCAAATTTCTCATAAATTGTATATTGGCAGTGATAATTGGCCCAATTTTCTCTTAGTAAGTTGCACCTCCACCAAATGTTTCTTTTTCTACCAACCAGTTAATTAGTAAAGACACCTGAAAAAACAAACAACCACCAAGTATTAATCAGAATTTTAACTCTAAGTGGTAATCATATTTTCCATTCTCTGTGTTTGCAGCATCTCCTCACCCAAACCATGTGGGCCGGGCCTGTCTAAAGCTGAAGGTGTATGTCAGACCTCCAGGTAAGCCACGCTCTAACCACACACACTCACATACGCATTCATATATAACACACAAAGATCCAGATTGCCTATCAAAGTAAAATTAGGGGGGATAAGAGGTCTGATAGAATGCTCTGGCAGAAGGCTGTGCTCGGATTCAAAGCCCAACAAGGCAACAGTTTGACACCTCCAGAGATACACACTCTGACAACACACAGACATTCACTCATAAAGGCATACTTGAACGCAAAGGGACACACGCACACAACGACACATGTTTAGAAACGGACGCGGAGATATGTGTGCATGTACGTTGGCTCAAAGTGACTAACGCGCTTCACATCAAATCACATCACATCACGCTGGGTGTGAGGGAGACCTTCTGTCCTTGTAAAAAGATAACAGAACAGGCTGAAAGTGCTTTTTGAAAAGGTGACCAACCTCGATGTGATTCCGCTTACTGGATTTCCTCACATGATTCATGAAAGTCTGTTTATGAACATGTAGCTTTGCAAAACAATTGAAATGGCTTCAAATTTATTGTATTTCACAACCATAAACTTTGATGCATTTCAGTGGAATTTTATGTAATATAGCAACAGAATGTATAACTATAAGCTGGAGACAAAAAAGTTCCTGTGTTTTTGCACTTAATTGGGGGACTGCACTAAACCGACTATATTTGTCATAAAATAAAAATTATTGATTGATTGTTTGATGTAATGACTCAGAACAGAGGGATCCAGCATTCAGGCAGGACAAATAGCAGTGACTTATAGAGCGTTTTTTTAAAGCAACAACAGATGGTTTGCGAATCTACAGCAGCAGTGGGCGGTAACTCTGGTTTAGAGTTCAGACCTTGCCCCGAAAATGAGGTTGATACCAGCTGGTCAGCTGACAAGACGCAGCACTTGCCGGACAGAGTTCCAGACGCCGAAGCCTTAAAGGACACAGAACTGACAGGAGATCAGATCCGAGCAGATGACGGAGGAAGGCAGTATAATCCAGACGGCAAGTCAAAAGGCAGATCTAGGTTCAGTCCACAGTAGAATCTGAAGACAGGTCAGGCAAACAGACCAGAACAGTTGCAGGCAGGCTCAAAGGTCTGAAGACAGAAATGGGTCAGTATCAGGCGATCAGAAGACTATTAGTAACGCTAGAAAAACTCTTACCAATGGCTGAAGACTAATCTGGCACTGATGGCTGGGACTAAGCAGTTTAAATAGAAGCAGGAGAAGGTGGAGCAGATGAGCAGTGATGAGAAACAGGGCAGAGCTAAACAGGTGAATGAAATGAGCAATTAAGCCAGCCATCAGCTCCAAGATCATGACAATTGATAGATTGATTGACACATCTTTTGTATTAGTTTATAAAATATCAAGGCTTGCTGTGCTTTTCATTAGTTTCTCACTATGTCTATACTTTTTGCGTTCACTGACAGCTGCACGTCCTCGCCATGTCCCTACCTGTTTTGCATCTCTAGAAACCCAAGTTTTTGTAATTTCATGATTTTGAAATAGTTAAATTCCAGTCAGATTGGGTGGAGAACACCTGTGAGGTCTGGTTTAGCCATACTTTATTATGTTTGTATTTCTGCCTTACTGTTTTATCTGTCCAGTAGGTTTAGAAACAGAACTCTGTGAGATATCCAAAGCATCTGATGTTGTTTTGTGACTTGATCTTGCATTTGACTTCTTCAAAAAATGTCCCCCCTGCATAATGCTTTTTTTATTAAGAGAACTTTCAGCTTCAGAGAACTTCTGTATCCATACTGAGATTTAAATGCCAAAATATGGCCAGCTTTTACCAAACAGGTACTTTTATTTACTCGTTATATTTATCTTTAGAAGAAGCAATGAAAACAGACTATGGTTGGTCAATTACATAAAAGATGACTCCAGTTTGTGTTTTTAACATGAACAAATGTGAGAAAGTCCATGGGATGTGAATACGTTCACAAAGCAATTTTTTTTTCTTATTTAGTAACTTTTACGTAACAGGTTAAACATTTATCTGTTGTTCTAAAAAGTGTCAGGCTTGTTTCTAAACTCAAAAGTCAGTCTAGTACATCCTGCGTCTTCCAAGTTAATTTGCCGACAGTGCTCAAACTCTTACATGTGTTCCACATTTGCCTCTGAATATTTATAAATAGCTTAAAGGAAACCTTTGCATACACGAGGATCACATTCTGGCTTACATTAAATTACACCTGTGTTATCTAAAAAAGAAAAAAAAACTACCTGTATGTCTGTTCCAATAGCAATTTGACCTTATGGGGATTCAAAAATAGACCAGATTTATTTAATAAAGTATCATACCTGGGTAATAACACCCAAGACAATGGCACAGCTTTGAAGATCATCACAAAGGAATGTCAGCTTTTTTACAGCTTTCCAACCTCAGATCATACCATACCCTACTACAGAGGAGGAATAATCTCTCCTACATTATTACTGATACAACATGCAGTCTTCTTTTGTCATTGCTGCTGCTTTTCATTAAGTTTAAGGGTTTTTATTATCTGTGTTCAGTTGAAGTAATCTGTCTGACATTGCAACTTTCATCTTCCCCATGAAATGCTGTCACTCCGTGAGTGAGCTGTGAGCAGTTTCATATCTGTGAGTGAGTGGCTGTGAATCTGTGTGAGTGTGTGTGAGTGTCAGCTGCTCCAGATTCCAAGTCTCTGTGATTAAACTGTAATTAGGTTGGTTAAACCCCCTGCAGAGCTCTGTTTCTGTCGTCTTCTCTGTCTTGCTCTTTTCAGCTCTGCAATTCATTCTGCTGTGTACTCTTTGCCTTTCATTAGCTGTTCAAGGATGAAGAGTGTTTTTTTGTGATTTGTCTCTCATTTTCAGTCTTCCTTCCCACCCTGACGGATCCACTTGTCTCTCCTTTGTCTTTTAAAGTCTATCTTATCTTTGCATCTGTCTTTGTGTCCTTCTCGGTTCAGATGTTTTGTCGCTTTTCTTTTTCTTCTCTTGTCTCTGTTCCAGATGGGTCGGGATATGATTCTCCGGAGCCGTTCCTGACTGACGGTGGTCCAGAATCCAACGCGGGTGGTGCGGTCCTGTTAGCGGCTCTGGCCCCACTCCTCCTGGGACCAGTCTTTGGGCTGTGACTACCCCTTCTCCCCCTCTTCTTGGAGCGCCCATGCTGGGATGATGGGCTGGGCTGGCTGTCCCTCTAAATCCACCACCCCTCAGGGAAGCCCTCTGTCTCCACCCTCTTCCTTCTTCCCTCCTCCACTGCAGTATGACCACCAACCACCCTCCACTGCCAGCCCCCCTTTCATGGCCCAGCCACAGACACCCTTCCCTGGAATACCTGCAATTTTTTTATAAGCAGTCTGGGAAGCTACCCTTCCTTCTCTTTTCCCTGAATCCCAGGCGGAGCAGCACCTTTCAGCTGAAAACACGAGAGAAATGTCTCAGCACTCATATCAGGGGGTCGTTTTTTGACTTTTGACTCTTGCCCACTGATGGGATAGAAGTAGCCATGGCTATGATTAAACTTGTCGTTCCATTGCAGTCCCTATCCTGCAATCTCGGCTGGGGGCATTAGGCGATAGGCCTGAGTGCACAAAGATTGGTTTTTTGCTCTCATGGTTTTCCCTTCCTCCAACTACGAATTGGAAGTGGCCAAGCTGGCATTAAAATTGGAATTCAATACAAACGCAGACCATCTCCAAAGTACAATGAGGATGAGAGTGATTATAATGAGCAGGAGAAAAGTTACCTGGACTTTACTGCAAAGAGAAAAAAGTGTGAAAGAATTTTAAACTAGGCCAAGTAAGACATGTCACTTGCTACAGCGTCATGGAAACTTATTCACATTTGGTATTTTTACCGTAGTTAACTAAAATGTATTTCACTGACAATTTATAAGATAAAACATCACAATGTAACAGAATATTGACAAGTGGAAGTGAAAGTATAAACATTCATCTGTTTTTTATTATATAAACATTCAAAAGTGTGGCAGGCACTGCATTCCTCCTCCATCTTTCTGTCCAGTTAATTTGACAAGCCTTTTTGGGTAGTAACTCTAAAAGCTTTGAACATCTTTACAGCAGCTTGACCCATTCTTGTTTTGCAAAGTAGATGCAGTTCAGATTAGATGCAGTCAATGAATATCAGTCTTTAAGTCTTGACTGACTTCTAACTGGATGTTGGTCTGGGCTTTGACTAGGCCATTTTAGCTCTTGACAATTTATCTAAATAATTTTACTGTAGTTTTGGTTGTATTTTTATGGTAATCTTAAGTCTCCTCTAGCCTCTACAATATAGATAATAGATAATATAGACAATAGATATCCAATGTTGGTCATCGAGGCCCTCTGTCAATGATTTTCAATGATGGGCAATAAGCAAACTTTTACTAAACTGCAATTATCTGAATTAGCTATGTGCTAAAGCACGGAAACATCTAAAACTTGCAGGACACTGGCCCTCAGGGACCGACTTTGGACCTGCTCTAATAACAGGCCTTGGGTTTTCACTCTATATTGCCCCATATATCCTCCAATAGGCTCTAAGAATCTCTCAAAATGCAGCCTGTCCCTGCTGAAGACACCACTGGCACTGCCTACTAACCTTGTAAGATGGTGTGTTCAAGGAAATTGGGCTTTGTTTTTCTCTGAAAATAATGTTTTATTTTGGACCCATTATCCCCTTCTAAGATGCTGAACATGGTTTGTTTTATACAGGGGTTTTTTACAGGGTTTATTTTGGCTCAACAGTGGGTTTGTTTTGTTGGTTAACTAAAAGTCAGATCTAGTGCTTGTGGTTTTGGGATTTTCGTATTTTCGCTGGTGAGTTTGGTTTCTTTCGATAATCTGTTTGTTCACTGTGCAGTGCTTTGTTTGATGTTCCAAGCTTGTATTGATCTTTTTTATTCTCTGTCTGCTTTTGCCTTTTTTTCCTTTACCGGTTCTTTACCAAACAGCTGAATTTATGGTGCAATTAGATAACACTCAGATGGACCCGACTTACTAATTAGGCAACTACAGGGCAATTGGCATCACTGGATTTTATTTGCTAATATCAGAGTAAAAGGGGCTGAATTTAAATCTACACCACACTTTTCAGGTTTTTATGTTCAGAAACTGTAGAAAATAATCTGTTTTATCTTTTACTTGCAATTCCCTCAGCTTGTTCTGTTGAAGTTTGATACGTCAAAATTCAGATAAACTCCCTTAAATTCTCAAAAAAGCTTTTACACTCCCTTGAGGTGTTTTTTGTTTTTGCTAAAAAGGGTTGATGTACAAAACGGGAGATGCAAACTTTTTTTTTTGTATAAGCTCCGATATTGCGACCTTTTAATGACATGACTGATCAGCCATTTCTGCTGTCGCCGTCTTCCGGAATCTTCCATTTATGCGTGTATACATGGCTGGAAGCGGAATCACCATTACTAACAACTGACATGTTAATCTAAGAAAAACTTCCCCCATAGCAACACATTCAGTAAAACCTTCCGCCATAACTCATCTCTGGTCATGGGTAGGTTGTGGCCTCTGCTTCCTGTTTACTATAGCCGTGGCTAAAGACGTATTGTGGACAACAACCATTAGACAGAATTATGGGTTGCAGTGCTTAGGTATTTCACTTCCAACCAATTACAAAGAGCAAAAACTCACATTTCTAACTTTTAAAAGTTTACTTAAAATTCTAATTTCAGTTGAATGGAAGCATGCCTACCTTAGAGTTCTACTCTACTGATACTGCATTCCATTTACTCTGGAACTATCGAGATGGAAGTATTTAAATTGTTCACCTTATGGCCACTAAGGCCACTGCTACAACATAGCAATGAAAACAAGAATTTAATGCAGTATCTTGTGAATACATGAAGCATTGATGTTTTATAGTACATGCATGAAAACAGTCAAAGCAGAAACATTTTATTTCTGTCGATGCAAATAGCAGCAATTATAAATGCGGACGTCTGGAATTGTCCCGTTGCCCCACATATCAAAACTTGTAATTGTTACATGTGGCAATGTTCAAATCGAAATTTACTTCTTGGAGGTCAGAAATCTTGACTTCAGAGAACAAATGAAGCACAGTATCAGTGTAACTCTAGCACATAAAAGCCCAATTGAAGTTCAATTTAAAATGTGAAGAAGTTCAGGTGGTCTAAATATTTTGGTCATATGATCTTTTTGTACGTTCAATGCAGTAGAAGTTCTTAAAGATAATAGAGTTTGAATTTTCAGAGGTTTAGAATTCACATTGTGGCGACAAGTATAACCATAGCCTGTTTTACTGGCACAGGGTATTGGGTGGGTTGTCATTGGTGGGTTTTATGGGATGTAGATTTTCAGGTGGGCTGTGTTTTGTCTTTTATGTGTTTCTAAACAAAGCATTTATCACGGCCTGGCCTGCACAGGCGTCTCCAGCACTAGCTAACGTTGTCTGGGTCGGGTGACTTTTGGAACCATGACTTTCTCTTGTATGAATGTACCACTGGCCACCCACCTCTTTGTTGTTGTTTTTTTTTCTGTATTGTCATGACTGTGGTCACTTACAGTACCTTCTGTCGGACTGGCAGGATTTCTCAAAGGCTCTGAGATTCTAAAGGAAGGCGGGGTGAAGGGTGGGAGGGGAGGGCAGGTGAGAAAAGGAGGCGACACTCAAGTTGCATGACCACTGTGAAACCTTCAGATCAAACTTGTTTCTATTGATATATTTTTTCATGGTGAAAAAAAAAAAACGGAAAATAATCTGACATCGCGCTTCAACTCTCTTGCTCTCCTTGAGAGTTTTTCAGACATCAAAGGGGGGAAAAAAAATTCAGACTCTTTCCTCACATGGGTTCTCCTGTCTGGGCTCTCAGTCGTTGATGGATTAGCTCGGGCCGGAAAGATAAATGGACCCGCAGGGCGAAACTGACTGGAAATCGGGCCCCTGGAGCCCAACTCGGATCACGACGGACGTAAACAAGGACTGAAGCTGATCCCAGGTCCGGGGGGTTAAACCAATAAAGGAAGCACATAGACTGTGGCAAATGAGGCGAGGTGTGTAAACGTGTGAGGTAGCATCACAAAGACACACATACGCACATGCACGCAGACATATACACAAACACTTCAAGAGATGGTGAAAGCACACACGGACAGAAGCAAACAGTGGAAGAAAGAGTGTTTGATTGAACTCAAACATTAACAGTAAGCACTGTTAACACACACACACACACGTACACACACAGAGCAGTCCATGTACAGATAAACACACTCGCCAACATACATGCAAAAAAAGTGTGCAGTTCTAGGCATTTACAAAAACATGCAAACGTGTACAAAACACAACCAAGGGGAAAATGCTTGTTCCTCTGTTCCATCTTATTTTTGTAGCATTTAAAATCACTGTTAAATACTCCTTTGTGGGATGCAGTGATGGGTTATAGCCTCTGACGGATTACAAAAATACTGTATGTGTCTTCTCTTCTACTGTCCCACTGATACTGTCCTTCTAGATTTTTTTTCTTTTCTCTTCCCCGGTTTGTGATCCACGGTTGATAGCGGTAGGATGCCTCCAGGTCTGAGCGTCATGTATGGATTTGTCTCCTTTTCTGTTCATGGTGTTTTTAGGGCGGCCTTTTCGCTGCTGAGGTCGCTCCGACAGACGAAGGCGTACACAGAAGTCGGCTAAAGGAGAGAAACAACACAAATAAAGATTGTCTTTTGTCTACTCGAAAACAACCCGCCTGAGTGGAGTTTCTTCAATAGAAATGTGAATTAATTCCCTTTTTTTTTTATGCGCTCCACCCCTCCAAAGGGCAGATGATTGTATTTATGTATTAGACTGCACCTGGGCCTTTATTTGCCTAGTCTATCTTCCTCTGACGTCAGTCTTGGAATAGAGATTATTGAGCTCTGCCAGTCAAAGCATGAAATTATTCAGAAGAAATCACCCTCTCTCATCTTCAGCTGTTCCCCCCTCAGGGAACTGACAGCTAATCTGAACTGCTGACTACGGAGGCAAAATAGCTTGATAGCCTTTCCTCTTTTGTTTCTATCAGATCTTTTGCATGGTGGCTGGTCAATAATGGGGATTAACAAAGAGCATGTGTTCAGATGTTATTCTGGGCTTTTAATTGTCTTGGTCAGTTACTTTTCACAGTATTACATTTTGAAGGGATATATTGTCTTTTTTTTTACTGCACTACCTTGATTTTATAGATAGAGTTAACAGGTTACTTTCAAAATGTTGTGTATAAAATGATCAGATTTTTAAAATACACCATTTAAATAATACTAAGTGGCAATCACAAGAAAACGGTGTCAAGTTTTATTTCTCTGTGACTGTGTTTCCATGTTTTATTCATGCTTACAGGAGCTGGAACCACGATACAACCAAACTTTGCAACTTTATAGGTTCTCTTGCTGGCCTTGGGTCTCTAAGATCATCCCCGTTTTAACAACACAGATATACCGAAGCTCTTTGCATACATTCTAGATTCATAAGATGTTAAACCCCAAATTATTCATATCCCTGGCAGATTAAGCTTTAATCAGATTTAATTTTAATACTACACTTTCCTCCTTAAAATTAAGTTTAAGGAGTGGCCCAGACAGAGTTCTGACTAGAACTGGAAACTTTGAGGGGAGCTGAATATTAGAGCAATACTTTCTAAGGACTTGGAGCTTAAATCAGCAAAATATCAGTGGAAATATGTAAAAAAACTGATCAGCAATTATGATTTCGATTGGTGTTATCGTTGTTAGAAATTCTATTATTGAGAAGGGTTTAAATCATTTTTGAAACAGCTTTTTTAATTGAATTGCATTTTTTTTTTAAATCACGCTCCTCTCACCCTGTTTTATTATATTTAGAGATATAGATGCCTCGTTTCCTATTAAAAACAGATATCTTAAGTGAAGGCAGATCGTTTTAACCCTAAATTAACCAGGTGGGGCAATAATTTTGGGTTAAACCATGCAGAGGGGTTAAGAAGATAAAGGATGGAAAACTTTAAAAAAAAAAAAAAAAACATCTGTCTTTTCTCTGTTTTTAAATCCTTGCAAGATCACATGTCAGAGTGACTGTGATTTTCTCTGTATGTTTAAAGCTTTATATAAAGTTGCTACGCCCCCCTTCCCCACACAGATGAACAGAAACTATGCCTCACAGGTTTCAGCAACTTTAAATACCATAAAGCACCACATCTATTAAACAAGCAGTCATATTAGCTATCGGAAATTAAATCAACTTTGTGATTTATCAGTGTCATTAAAGGCATGAATTACAATGGCAATAATTTTAACTGATAATTAATATCTAATAGAAGGATAAACACAGAACACCTACCTGCATACTGAAAGTTATATACTAGAGGTCTGGAACCTGCTTGAGAGCTGTTCCAGGAAATAAGATGATTGATCTCTGACTTATCTAAAATAAAAGGGCCTAATGCAGTTCAAGATGGCTTTCATATAACCAGAAGACAGCACAGAAAACACGGAATTCAATTGTAAAAGAAAAAAAACACTATTGGCTTGAGAAAGCTTCTTTATTCTGGCTGAATTAAGAGTTATATGTTTACTGAGACCTGACCTTTGCAAAAAAAAAAAAAGAAAAAGAAAGAAAAAGAACTATATCCTCCCTTCTTCTCTAAATATTTCTTACTGGAGTAGTGCTATTGTTATGGTAACGGCCCAGTTTAGTCCCAAATGATTAAGGTCAGTGGTACTGGAGGTCTGACCATCCTGAATAGCTCCTTTTATTTTGGTTTCCTTTTTCTTAAAATGATCAAACTGTGAGGATCTT